ATGAAAAACACAATGATCTCAGAAAATGTTTTGAGGTACCAGAGCCTGTAGAGCTTTTTTTGCGGATCATTTTGATAAAAAAAATTTCTCTTTTCATCAAAAAAGGGTGTGAGGTCTGGAGTGTGGGATGCGGGGTCTGGGTTGTGGATGTCGCAAAAGAACATAACCACGACGCACACCCACCCACACCCACACCCACCCACACCCCCACACCCACACCCACCCTCAAGATGAATTTTTTCATTGTTTGAACATACATACTTTAATTGATCGTATAAAGATCTTTGTTATGGTTATTGGGTGGTCAAGCGAGAGAAATAGATGAACATGTAATAAATTAATTTGAAGTCGGTAGCTGCGCGCATACTTTCGACTTTTTTATATTAATATTGATGACAGATATTTATTCTTCTTCATATTATATAAATGATTATACCATTCGATTAGGATCGTCTACTCTTCATTAATTTTCGCATAACGTATATCTTCACTTCTTGTATGCGTTTATTACCCTATGACCCTCCTAGGTCCTATAGGGACATCATTGGTAACAGATTTCTTTCTTTTACAATATTTGAAATAGGAGAACGAAAAGGGCACTACAATGAGAAGAGAAGAAAAAGAGATAATTAAAAAAAAGAAAAAAGAAAAATAATAATAAATAAATGGCAATAATAAGTAATCAGGTAAATAGTAATAAAGATCATTGAAACGATACAATAACATCATGATACAACAGGGAAAAATAGAGTAGTCTCAAGCCATCACACATCAACGTTTACTATTGCGTACATTGCTCCACTGAAAATCAGACTATTAACCAGAAAAGAGAAAAGACGGGATGCATAGCATTAATATCAAAAAGTTTCAGGAAAAAGAGCAAAAAGATCTATATCATTACAGTCAATCGCCGGAATACATGGAATCATACTGTGTCTGGAGCACCAATCCAGACACCTTGCCCATACACTATTATAATCAATAAATCTTTTATTATGTCGTATTGACATTATTTTACCATGACCGCTCAACCAGTGTTGCCGGTAAGCGCATAGTTTCACTTGTTTACGTAACAATTGTCCATCTTCTGACTTACCTAATGCTGAGAGATATTTTTCCCAATATTTGAAACATCTGGCATCAAGTGAACATTCATTGTATAAGATACTAAAAATAAAATCTTCCCAATAAAGGCAACGGTATATTCTTTTCAAACATGTAAAATATATGTGTGAGAGATCTGTTTGTTACCTGAAAGTAAATAATGGAAATATTACAAATAGCCAGGCAAATAAAGGATATACAAAAGTAGAAAATAAGATTCGACGAACAGTATTACAAGATACTCCTGCAAATTTACAACTATTCACCAAAGTCGTTCTTTGACGTATTTTTAGCAGAGTATAATTTATAAGTGGTGACCACCCAAGCTTGGTAGTAATCCAGTATCCAAGATATTTGAATTGTTTTATCCAACTAATAATATGCTCACCACATTTAAGAACAGGCATTGGGTTAGGAAAACCATCTGCACGAGCTGTCCACATCGCATGTGTCTTTTTATGATTGATTGACTGTACAGACAAAACCGAGTAATATTCCAGATTATCGAAAAACGCAGCCAGCCTTTTTTCTAAATCTATACATTGATCGGTATATTTTATGCCCATTTGTTCCGCCATTGTTGCAGCAACATCATCGGCAAATAAAAATGATATTGCCATTGGAAAGGCATCGCTCATATCAGAGTGATATGTAACAAATACACTTGGGGTAAGACTGGAGCCTTGTGGTCCGCCCCTTTTTATAGAAAACCATCTGGAGCAAGTTTCTTGAATGTCTATATAGCCACGTCTATTTGTTAACCATTCTTTAATCCAGGCAACATAGGCGGCTGGAATACCTAACCGTGAAAGCTTGCCTACACAACCGTCGAACCAGAGCTGGCCAAAAGCGCTTCGGAAGTCAATAAATACCGTACAAACCGGGGAACTATTTGCCATTAGTGAAGAGATATGTTCAATCAGTAGCAAGACATGACTTTGAAGACGATGGTTTGCTCTAAAGCCGGATTGATTGTCCGGTAGTAGGCCACGAGCATCAAGTATCTTAAGAAAGCGGCTTAGAAATAACTTTTCAATAACTTTAAGATGAGAATCCAATAGAGAAATAGGATGAGTAGTATCTGGTGTGCAGATAGGTTCGTTTTTAGTAAGAATGACCATTCTAACATCTTTCCATTTGTCAGGCATGAAAGCCGTCTGGAAGGACATATTGAATAAGGTGATCATTAGATGCCAATAATTTTTGGGCACATGATCGAGTAACACCGGTGATAAACCATGAGCATCACACGATGACTTTTACTTTTTTGCTTTTAATATCTTAAGTAATTCAGGATAAGATACCAGCGGGATGCTATCATTATCATTATCCCAGCAGATGGTCTGTGAATCAACATACGGATGTGGACAGTAAACTTCAGGCTCAGTAAATAATTGTTCATAGTAATTAGCGGCACATTCCGCCATGTTCTTTGTATCTTTAATGATTTCGCCGGATGTAGAAATAAATGCTCGTAGAGTGGCGGATTTGTCACGAAAGTGTCGTTTGGATTTATTCCAAAACGGAGATGATCCTGTGCCACCTTCGTATCTTTCTTTCAACATTTTACTTAATTGCTCTGTTCGTAATGTTCGGAGATGAAAACGCGCTCTTTTACGCAACGTATACGCCTCTCTTCGCAGGAGGATGTCACCAGTACGTCTCGCTTTTAGAGATTAAGCACGGCTCTTGGATAACAGATTTCTCAACCAATACGGAACTGCTGTTCTTGGCAATTTCAAAGAGAAATGTTGAGTACATCGTGCTGCTAAAAGTGTCAAAAATACGATATAATTGTTGTAAGTTGTATTAAAACATCTCTGTAACCACTCCTTTTCTCAGAACGAAAATGTATAAGACATGAAAGCAGAAAAGACAGTCCAATTTGTTCTTTTAGTTAAGGCGTTTTCTTTCCCTTCGCAAGCCAATATTCCAATTAGAGGTATACGATCACTAGTGGTTTCTTCATGATAAATTTGCAAAGAGAGATGGACACCAGCAGTAAACGCATAATCAATAATTCTGTGTGATCTGAGTGAGGTCGGGCCATCAGGAATGATGGGAGACAATGAGTGTAAGTCGGTCCAAGATAATAGAACATCCTATTTGGTCTTGTCCTCTTGAAGATCTACATTGAAATCGTCCATCAAAACACAGTTATAGCTTACAAAAGGATTCATGTCATTCTAATTCTAGGATTTACTCTCAGGAGCGTATACACCAATAACACACAAAGATTCTTCCAAAAGAATATTAACTACACATACATTCGGCACATTATATTGATGTCTGATTGTCGACAATCCCTTACGAACTAGTATGAATACACCACCATTTCTATCCTCACCAGACTGGTAAAAACTTTGATAAGTCGGAAAAGCTGCAGACACCAAGGAATGATCGATACGACCCACTTTCGTCAGCACTAGTATATCGGAAACATATTGTGTACTTAATAACACTACTTCACCCCATCTGTAGTCCAGACCATGCACATTAAAACATAGCACATGAAAATCCGATAAAGGAGATCTGATGTCTCCTTGAACAGATTTCTTCCATAAAGAAAAACAGTTGTTCAATGTTGGACCATTATGCCATTCATATACCAATGACGAGAATAATTTCAAGTCAGAGCAATCGAGAGTTGAAGCTATTAGGTTCCACGTGTCATTAAACATGGTTAAATTTGATGATAGTGAACAAGGTACAAATGGGGTTGCATTAGGAGATAGATTCATGTTGTAACTGTATCTGTGACTTTCAGTTTTTCAACCAATTTCTTAAAAAAAGTATGTTTCTCTTCAACTTTTTTCGTATAATCTAAGTTTCTTTCACTATCTTGCGGCATGACGTGGTTTATAATAAGATCACATAACTCAAGCACAACTGTTTGTATATCAGACTTGACGGGTAACATATCATTAACCATTGTGTACCATTTGCGTTCGAAATCCTCTATCTTCGATTGAGGTGTTGTAGACCATCCCGCCTGTAGAGGAGGAAAGTTGTTAGAATTAAAACGATATGTGTTTGCAGAAATTGACCTTAATTGCTGATGCATTAATAAAGATCTAGTGAGTGCTGCCCTATACTCTTTTATAGTCGGACATTTCGGATCATTCGATTTATGTGATCCATTGCAGTGTACACATTTCATTATACCCGAGCAACTGGCTTTATGTAATTGAATATTTGAAATTTTCTCGCTACACACCTTACATGTTTGACTATCTTTTTATGGACAATTCTTACGAAAATGTCCAATACGCATGCATTGTGAACAAATCAAAATATGAGCTTGGGCCAAGTATTCCACAATATCCAACGACAATCCCGTAATTAGAATACGTTTTTTATCCAAAATTTCTTTACGAGACATAGCGGAGTTGAACTCCAATTTAACTGCTGTGATCTCCTGTTGTGTGCTATTGCGTAGACGAATTACTGATACTACGTTCTTATAAACAGCACGAATTTCATCCGAAAATTCTTGGAAGTTAATATTCAATGGTACATCAGGTATAATTGCTGATAGTTGAGGTGGAATCGGAGGACATATTAATTTATATTTAAGTCCACACAATTCTTGTGGCCAGATTTTTTCATCTAACAAGAACGCAAATGTCTCTATATTTTTAACAAATAGTAAAATTTTATATTCTCCATGTGCACCAGTAGTTGAAGTTCGACGATAGCCAGCAATATCAATATTAAACTGATGATTATCCTTCGCAAATTTGCATAAATCTTCAAGAATTAACTTATCACGAATATCCCGATCAGCAACAATAATAAAAGGAGAAAAATGGTATCTAGTCTGAGCAAACCGTTTTGCTTCTTCTGATATATGAAGCTCTTGTTGTTCATTCATATGATTGTTCATACTAAGATTGCTTTGAGGTTGAATGTTAGCATAAGCCATGCTTTGCTGTTGTTTATCCTTACTTTGCTTAGGTTGGTTCGGCATAGGTATTCCCTTGTCTTGAATTTTTGTAGAAGATGAAACTCCCAGCGCTCGTCTCTTCTTTTGTGTACATACAACAATACGAGTATTATGATCATTATCCATTTCAATGGATTTACGTTGTTCTTCTGACATTGGAAACAATACACGTTTCGAAGAATTATGTTCATTTACTGACATCATTGTTACTGGATTTAATTGGTTATTTACGATATCTTGGGTTGCCAATGACGAATTGGTGGACTGTTGATGGTAAACTATAGATTGTAAATGTGAAAGTTGAGCCGTAAGTCGAGCAATTTGTTCAATAAGAGCTCTATTATCATCACTCATTTTCTGTATGATTTTCCAAGGATCCTGATGATTTACCATTCCATTATACAAAAAACTCGATTGAAAATCACCTCCAAGTAATACCCTATTGACTTCAGCATAGGTAGTAGAAATTAATGACGGTTGATGGTTACTAATTAGATGTGTTCCATATTTTGATACTGAGGTACAGCATTCCCACAATCGGGTGCTGCCCGCTGTGCCATAATTGGCAACAATGTAATATATTAACAATATCAGTGAAAAAAATACGTAAATAAATAAATTTTTACTGACCTATATTAATAAATTTCACTAATATATATAATTTTTCTCTTTCCTTCCGATAACAATGATCAAGGCGTCACAGTAGATACATGTGTATAGTAGACGTGCTGACGTGTGAATGAACGTATATCTTCACTAGCTTCGTGTTCCATTCGAAGAAAACTCAAACACTAAAAGTCGAGTGAAACACTTCATTAGTTCTTGCAAGGGTGTGGGTGCGGGATGTGGGTGTGTGCTTGAATCTTCACTTCACTTCACTCACTGACACCCACACACCCACATCCTACACCCACACCCACACCCCACACCCGCAACTTTTCATGTGTGTCAAAGCGAACGTGGTTGACTCTGCGACGCATTCACAAGCATGTCATATAGAAGTAGAACACACATGTACATGCATTTTTTCAGCTTTCGCGTCTGACTGGATGGCGACTTATCAAGGTAAATGAAGCCGTTAACTGGAACGATAAAACTGCAGTAAGTTGCTGATATCTTGGAGGTTTTTTATCATAAAGAAAACTAACAGCGTTTTCTTCTCAAATAAAGTTTAAAAGTTTAAGGAAGTATTTTTAGAAAAATCCTTCTAGAATAAAATATACATCTTTTCTACAGTCATATTTTCGGGAGGCAACATACTCATTTACGTAGTCTATTACATTAAATACAAGATATTTTTCTCCAAATTTTGAATTATTTTGATGGATTAGAAGTTCGAACGAAAGAACTCAATGCTCAATCAAAGGTCAAGAACTTGCTCCAATTCATAAAGTTGAAAAAGAATTTTTCATTGATATACGAAACGTTTGCAGAATTATGTGTCTACTAATATCATTTTATTGGAATTTCGTCTACGAATTTTTGCCTATCACTATTTTTCTTTTGCAAAAATGATTAAAAATAAATTCTTCTGTATTGTTAATGAAGCAAAAAGTAAGAATAGTCTTATTTTAGTCTTTTCTCTTTATTATTGAAGATGGATTTCATGTTAAGCAAGCGTGTATACAAGAAGTACTATTTTAGTCGCTCGTTGTATTGCCACGTGTAACACTTATCTTGCATTGTAAGAATAAAATTCCAATGTTGACATTTATAACCATGTATTTACTCTTCTATTTCATCTATTTGTCATCTAATGTTGCAAAATTTTCGCTTATCTTTTTTTCTCTTTGCTTTTATCTTCAAAGCTGAAACGAAATGGAGAGAAAGAAAACGTAAAGGAAGTCTTGAATATATTCAAGAAGAATAAATATTCTCATGAACTATCAATTGCATATACTCAAAATTTTCGAATCAAGTTCAGATAGAAACATATGATATATTTATGAGTACTTTTACAAATCTACTTTGCCATTAGACTTTTCGCAGTACACTTCTTTCAATTATATATATATAAGGAAAAAATTGCATAACTACGATGAAAGTTGATGACACATTGTCAATAAACACATTGATATAAAGAATGGCAAATTTAAAAAGAAATTCACTTTTATGACATATACTATTCGAAAACAAGCAACATATATGGCTAGAAAAGTTCATTCGTCTTTTTTGGCATT